TTTTGTTTAATATTTGATCATTGCATCCATGTTTTTTTGGTTTAACGTCTCAGAAAGATTTACTAAATAAATTATTGAGTAATGTCAAGTAAAAAGATTTGGTTTGAAGGGTATTTCCAAATGATATGTGTATTTTGTACTCAGTTCGATAAAATCATCAGTTTATATTATGCAATAGATAATAAATGTATCGATGAAAATATTATTACGAAAATAATAATACTAATGAAATTATATTTCTAATTTGATAGGGAGATTGACCATAAAGTACTTTCAATACATTTAATTATAATTACTGTTTTCTTAGAATATGTTAGTTAAAATTTTTGTAGAAAAATAAGGGTAAAATTGGAATGAGTTTATTGGAATGAGATTAAATATTTTTTTAAATAAAATTTATTTACTGCAATAGTATTGATTTTTGTTATTTTTTCTTACAAATCGCTTAAAATTTGTTATTGTATCAAATAATCTCTGTTTTACTAAAGTAATTTTATTTTTGTCTTATTTTTTTATTTTATATTGACTTTCCTTAAGTGTAAGTTATAAAAATTATTTTTATTGCCAAATATACGAAGTTTTTTGTTACGAGATATCCATTAATAAATTTGTATAAACATTTTCATTCACAACAAAAATAATAAATAAACAAATAGGTTTTACTGCTGAAAATCTCTTTCTGTCCTTTCTAACTTATTTCATTTTAATGTTAAAATATTTATTAGTCAAAATTATGACCAAAGCTAATGACCAAACTAATTAAATTATTTGAAAAATATTATAAAATTGCATAAAATACAGAACTATATACAGTGGAATCTTGTTTAACGAGCACCTCGCATAACGAGCAAAAATAATTGTAAGAAAAATGATTCGCTTATCGAGCGACGATGAGAAGAGAAGTCCCGGATTGCGCGCCTGCTACAATTTTTCATTTTTAAAACTTTTGTACACATATTATGTATATTTTTGAATATATTTCATTATACAAATCCGCAAATTTTGGAACGGATTAATACTCATACTATTCAGAAAATATTTGTTTTAATTAAAAATTAATGAAATAATGTATACAAATTTATTACAATATTTATATACTGTTTTTAACGAGTAAATGCATATTTATTTCATGAATAAATGTATGCGGATTAAAAAAATAAGAGAAACAAGTTGTTTATATTCATTCCATTATATAATATAAATTAACTTCAATACTATTGCGCACGTGAAATGCGATTTGCTAAGTGCTCGTTATGAGGGGACGCGAAGAAGAAGCATAACGCGTGCAAAATTTAGATGTACTCGAAATGATGTTTAGTTGAAATTTATGTAACATTTCTATGGCTGGGGCCGCAACTAAAATATGCAGGAGTACAAAGGCTTTAATAATATAGCACTTCCAAAACAGTTTTATTTATAAATTTTGCGAAACGCGGCTCTGGTGCATATTGCAGAAAACCGCGTTTATTTACTATTTATATTAGCCCAATGCAATATGCATAGTTTCTACACAAAAATATCGAGAACGAAAATATACAGAGAATCCAACAAAACTTTCAACATATGTGCAATTATTTTTTTATTTTCATACAATTCATGCTTATTTTATTATCAATGTTCGTGGAAACCGCATTTCGTTAATTGTCCAAGAAATGTTTGAACGTTGAAGCATAAGCGTTATTAAAGTTCTTTATGGTATTTTTTATTTATATGCAAATAAGAAATGATGAAAAATTTTCTTGTCTCACGACTTTACATAAAGTAATAAAAAAAGAAAATGGGAGAGTTATTGCATTCTAGAGGTACGATTAAATAAAAATATATGTATACAATGCATTGGGATATAACAAAGGACATATGTATATATGCGTGAAATTAAGTAATGATTAATATAGGTTACGACAGGGTATCGACCCGTGGTCCTTCTGCCCTACAACGTGCGATGATGATGCTGTTCTAAAACTGAAATTTTCGTTGCGGTGTCTCACAGTTTCAACGTTTCTCCATTTCGATATGGTTTTCTTTATTTCAACTTCAGTGCTTGTATTCCCACTGTTAAACTAAATCCGAAGCATATATATATATATATTTATTTATCGTGTCCTCTGCACGGATGCTCCTATTATCTGTAGATAATGCGAGCCTCTTGTATTTGTTTCTGCGGCTGGAAATAATATGTGTTTATTATCGAATAAGCGATACGATGTTGAGGCCCTTGTTATCCCGTCTACAAAGCAATTGCTTTCGTTATTGAACTCTCCGTGTATCGACTTACGTTTTTCCATTGTCTCTTCTGGAATAACATTCATGTACATTTGAATCCATCAATACATATCGTTATGTTACTAATTCGGGTTATACTGATTAATATTGACTTCTAATTATTTGTGTTTTATTTTATTAGTTCGTTAAAGAAAAACCAATGATAATTGAAATCTATTAGATATTCATATATCAGTTTACGTTTTCTATTATCTAGTAACAATAACATTCATGTTATTTTTTTTTAAATAAATGATATTACGTTGCTAACTCTAATTATAGAAAATTATATTTTCAAGATTAACAGATTATAATAAAAATTAGACACACTAACATCAATTAATGAGTTATATTCATTGAGTTCTAAGATAATATGATTCATGATGTTGTTTCATTGAATTGTTTATGATAAATCAATTGATAAAAGTATGATAGTTTGGCTAATGATTTTTATTGCCTCTACTGGAATAAAATTCGTTTTAATCTATGTCACCTAATAATAAATATTGTTATATTACTATAACTATAGTTCATTGACCTTTGGATGATAAAACATTGGCGTGTTTATGTAAACAACAAAGTAAGGTAACAATGTAATCAATATACAGAAATTAATCAATTGACTTTAGATCTAAATCAATATGATACTTACATTATTTTTAAATATTAATCGCAAATCATTTATAATTACATTCAAAGTACGAGAAGAAATTAGAAATGTTGACAATTCGTCAAAAATAAATGAGTTCTGCCATTTTTCATTGTATATTTTGAGGATTTCTTAATATTTTGATAAATTAAGATTCAGTTTGTTTTGAAATTTTCAAACCTGACTATAGTGAACGGACTGAACGAAACCGGACTATGCGAGGAATTTCTGTATTAAGAAAAATATCGACTAAACGCTCAATATTTATTTAAAGGTTTTGTAACTTTGGATTATTATTCTGACAATATTTTAAGATGAAACAGAATGACTGTTCATTAAAATAATAAGATTTTGGCTCAAGTTTTAAGTTTTCAGTTTCGCTCTACAACTTTCTCGATTTATCAATTCATTTCTACAAACACTATTTTAAAACAAACTTATATTAGTTCAACATGGTAAATTATGTTACTTAACCGATTGAAAGTGCAAACATTGCCGGATTCCAAAGCAGCGCAGAGACCCGGTTTTATTTTCGTTCGTTTTACAATTATTACCTATTCAGTCCACCCGCACATTTATTTAAATAATTTAGCTATTTGATTCGCTCGGAATTTCAATTTTACGCGAAACGCTCAGAAAATCGAAGCTGTAATTTATATGCATATTAGTTCATATAATCAATTTAATTGGCGCAAAATAAATTATGAATTGCCATTCCAATTTATCCTAGTTCAATTGCATTCAGTGTATTGGAAATGAGTGCTCGATAAACAAATTAATCCGTCGTTCATGCACTTCTCTAGAACCTCTATTATATAGTTTAGTTTTGTGTTTTATGTATATATAGTTTTTGGCTCTTTTGTAGTTTTTGGCACGTTTATAAATAAACTAATCCATGTCAGTGTGTCTCGCATTATTAATCTGCGGCATGGATTTGAATTTCGAGTGCGTGCTTTATATAACGCCGATAACCGAAGGTGTAAATGCACTTTCACTCAAGAAAACTTGTTCTGAAATCAATAAGATCGATTTGCCGCTCTACCTGTATCGCTTTTTCCATACTGGAAACATTAACAAACTCATTTATTTCTTAAACAAAAACAGTACTGTAAAACAGATTCTGTAAATAGTGTTTTCGAATATTTGTGTAGGTTATTTCTAAAACTAAATGAATATAATTTCTTCAATTTTCTTGTAGCAAGAAGACTTAAGACTTGTTACACTGATTTTTATATAATATCACCAATTCACGTATTGTTCATTTCTTTAATTTCTTTCAATGTGAGGCGCAATTAAGTATACGTCATTAACTATTTAATATAAACTAACAATACATTTGAATTAATTCAATTATTCAATTATTTATAAATTAATTGACCTATTCAACTATTATTCTCAACATATGTTGTTTAAATTTAATTAACTGTTAGATACCCGAAGAATAATAAAATTAAAAAAGCATTGATGTAATATGATTTGTAATATTGTTTCTGCTTCTATAGATGCTGAATGCAATATGTGAATTAAAAAAAAATACAAGGAATAAAGTAACAGCATTTTTATGATTTAGTGAAATCCTTGGCAATAACATTTGTGTTTAATTTAAGTATTATATCATGAAGCAACGGAGTGAGTTTTCCGAAATTAGACTATATTCAATCTGCTTTTGCTCAGCTCGGACCTAATTTTAGACAAGATACAAAGAAAAGAAATTATTGTGTAATATTGCTAATAACTGTACAAACAAAAAGCAAGAAACGTCTTATTAACTATTAACTTAAAAGCAATTTTTTATTTTTCTCGGAAAGCTCGATCTTACGACGAATATTAAAGGATTAAAAAAAGGTTTCTTCACGAGCGGCACTACTCATGAGACACCAACCGGTTTTTCTTCGGATCGTCTCAAATTTATTTTCTACCGTCTCCTAGTTTTTTTCTCTTGCTGGTTGTTTCCTCTCTATATTGCTTTACGAAGCCAATAAAACCTTAAATGGTTGATGATGTATATATATAAAAAAAAAAGAGAGATGCGTTAAAACTAAGAAGCCGCTGGATTAACGATTTTTGTTTGTTTGTTTTGATTACGAAGGTATTAGGTGTACGGAGAGATCAGGAGGAAGCGTTGGAGGAGCTTTGGGTTCGAGGAGGATAAGGAGGTCATGCAGTTTTCTTGAGTTGTCGCTTTATGAAGAAGGGATGTCTGAGCAAAGGACCGAATCGAGGGCGGAGAGGATGGCCCGGTACAAGGAGGAGAGGAGGAGGCAGCTCGCAGTACAATTTAGCGAGAGCGCGAACCGCCTCCAGAAGGACTCATCGAGCGGGTCAGATGGGCCGAGGACGACGAAGGCTTCCAGACTTAGAGCAGCAGCCAATGCCAACAACGATGCCAATTCTAGTCTCAAAATTGATAATGCTAAAGAGGTAATTATATGTTAGTTTAAATACCGTTTAAATGTTGTGTATATTTGGTTGCCTATAAATTGACTTAAGTAACAATTAAAGTTTGATACCACTTGTCGAAAAGCACTGCATGTTAATACTCAAATTAACAATTAAGTAATAATACTATAAGTAAAATAATATAAAAGAACCATGCTTTTGATCATAGATGTTTCAGTCAGTAAAATTATATAATGTGACAATTAGAGCAACTTTCAATAACATGTAATTCTATTGAAATGCAAATCTCAATTACTATTAATGTTCTTACTTAAAGTAAGAAAATTACAAAATTGTCTGCTTGTGTAATGCCACTGCATTCAAAGACAACACGTGGTGCTCTTAATAATTATTATAATTTGCCAATATTACAAACTGCATGAGCTACGTATAATATAAGATAATTTAGTTTACTTTAAGTTCGCTTTAATGGTATCTGTATATAATGGAAATTTTCTTTCCAATTTGTATATTGATTATGATCCTTGTTACGCCCCAAGTTTGAATAGTTAATGTATAACGATAGAACAGGAAGTATATAATATCAAAGAGAAATTATGCATTCAATGGAATACATGTTATGACATTGGTAATCTTTGGAATTTTACTGTAGCTATTCTTTATACAGTATGACAAGAATAATGTCAAAGCAGGGCTAAATTTTAAGAATTTTACTATTGAACTAGGCGTACGTGTTATCTCCTGTTTGATATGTAACGTCAAATATAAGTTATATAGTAGCAGCAACCCAATTAACAACTATTATGAACTCATCTCATGTTACAACTATATTTGTAACATAGACTAACCTTAGCTTTTATCATTTCATATCTTTATCAAACTTGTTAATTTGTTTTATAAACTTTCTTTTGTCCTCTTATTAGACAGACTGCCATTTTATCTTGTGTTATCAGTAAATACTTTAATTCTCGGACTATGCTAAAAACTTTGAGGGATCTGCAGATAACGATACAGTATTCAAATATTTGAGCTACATAATGATGTGTGTCAGCTGTAATAGACAAATAAAAAAAATATCGACATGCAATATCTATAGAGCTTACTGTCCGTCTGTCTGCTGCAATTTCCAAATGTGCCGCCAGCTCTATTCGTGCATGGATGAGAGGAGATGGAATGAAATTGCGCCCCGTACACATCGACTCCATTGTCCAACATACCGTTGTATGCAGATAGTGGTGATTTCAGAGGTCTTCAAAATAATTGAATAGCATTTAGATTTGCACCTTCTTTCACCATCGAAATGACGTTTTTCGCTTATCAAAATGGAAGATCCGCATTATTCATTCTCACTCATACAGTTAATGGGAAAATCCAGTTATCAATAGCGTACTTTTTATTATTGTTTGGATACATTTGGACGGAAGCGTTTTATCACAATTTAAATAATTAAATTAAAAATACCAGGAATCTTATCTTATTCCAACTAATTACTTTCTTAGTTTCGAATTTTGCTAATTTGAGATAATATCAAATGTCCTTTTTAATTATCAATATATATTTATGTTATTTGTGTTAATTTTCTGAAGTGTTTCACGTTATAGAAGATATTTAGTTGTTAATGAATGTATTTGTAAATAATGAATGGTGGTAATATTTAATTGAAATTGAAAGCAGTTGAAACGTGAGTTTCACGTTTGTAAACTAGAGATGTCGGTTGAAATTGCTTTGACCCCAACTTGCGTGGAACTGGGTTTCCTTGTAATAATGCATCATCCATTTACATTCGTTTTACAAACTTTAAATTGGAATAGTCCGACCAGTGTAATGCGTATATTTAAATTCAATCTATTTTATTTTTCTTTACCTTTTACGTAGAAATAAATAGGATGTATACATGTAATTGAAAATATAAAATGAGGTTGAATGTTTCGTTTTCCCACTCTTAAATAATAAAACGTTGCATCGGAAAAATATTTACCTATCATATTGAATACTAAGGAAATTGTGAATTGGAGTGAATCGAATAGAAATAGTTACATTTACTAGGAACCGGGATTCGTATATAGATATTTATGTACAATCATTTGGAAATACAAAATATAGAGAAGTTGAAATTGTTTATGTGCATTATTTATATAAAATATTATGTATATAAAATAGGTGAAAATATCAAAAAAAAATTCAAAAGCTATTTTATATTACACATAATAATGCTACTTTTTTTATTCTAAAATCTATTTTATGAAAAAATAAAAATTAAAAATTTGTGCGAGTCTTAAATGCATATTCATTCCGAAATTGACTATAAACGTACATTTGCTTAGTATACATGTACGTTATATGTTTGCTACTGTACTTTATCTGATTTATTATATAATATAAAACGTAATTTTTGGAATCATTAAACTCTCTTTTTTACGTAAAGAAATCAACGGAGGTCAAATATTCTGCAGGTACTAATTATAGTAATAATAAATGAAATTTAAGGGTTGCGAATATTGAATTTTCCTCACAAAATTGGGGGTGCTTTTATAGTCGTGGAAAAATACTGGAATCAAGTATCATAAAGGATAAAGGTAATAGGAAGTTGACAATAGTGAATGTTCAAAAGGGTAATATTGGTTACATTATGGTGGGAAATCAATAGTTCTATTAAAATAATAAACAAGAGTCGGTACTTTTGTTGGAGGTTATAAAATTGCCAATGTTGCATAACCATCGGAGGGTTGCACAATGGTGGGAATGAATTGAATGATATTTTAAATTATGTGCAAATAAATGGATGGCTTGGATTTTGGTGTTTGCTTTTTGGGGAATTACCGCATTGAAAATGCCGTGTGATTGATTGATTGCGCACAGTCTAGACGGGTTTTATCACAGCGTAGGATTTTTTTAAATATATATATATTTCTAAGGGCGCCCGTTATAATGGAACGCCCTTTAGCGAGCTTTTCATATTTATATCCATATATTTTTTTACATTCTGCGCAGAATATCAAATTAAACTTGATCAAACAATTTCTGAGCGAAACGAAAACAAAAGATCCGTCCCGTATCGATGTTTACCTTCGAAATATTCGCAATCTCCAAAGCAATTGTTGATTTTCCAGAAAGAAAAAACCTGTTATTGGATATAAGCATTTTCATGTTTTTAAATAGGAATCGACTGCATTCATCATTTTCTTATTTAAATTGCAACTTAAGGAGATTGAAAGTGCGACGGAATGAGGAAATCGGTTATTTAAACCAATGCCATTAATTTTCTTTGCCGTGTGTAGTTTTGCTCTCGTCATTTCAGAAATGGCGATTTGCGACAGAGGAAACTTTATGGAGCGAACGAACGTTTGTGTAATAGTTTATGAATCATGCAAAGCGGTAGTCCATGATGGTCATCGTAGGTGTCGTAGAGATCATTGGACTTGTTGCACTCAAAGGCACCTGTTTCAGAACGATAGAGGTAATTTGAGATGAAAAAAAAACATGAAGATTTATCTTCCATCCACTTGTCGAACGGTTGACCTCATTACTATCCCTTTTTTTATAAATAGCCTTAATATATTTATATCGACTTTTCACGTTATTGTCTCTACGCACGATGTGTGGGTAATCGTTCAAAGAAATAGAACGAAACGTGATCACAAGGAAAGCAATTTTCTTTATTGCTTCTAAAATAATAGTTTTTTGCATTACATTTCTCGTTCAACAATCAAAATTATAGATTTAAAACTGAAATGAAATAGATTTCAAAATTAAATTATAAATGATCAATCTGGAGATTAGTACTCCATCATACCGCAGTGTCCGACGTTATTAGTCAATGTATTAATAATTTACCATTCACTTGGTCAGTTCCAATTGCGTCCCTTCAAGTGGAAATTGCGGTATTAATTATTTAATGTACATGTTATTCCACTGAAATAACTTAGCTCGGAAGATCAATACACGACTTGGAACTTAGTTCGATTACTGATTTCAACATCAACATCCACTAACAAGTTATTTAATCCGATTTACCATTATAAATTTATTAATATAAAACTTGTATTTTAATTAAAGTTTGATAATTTTCGAAGTATTTTCTTATTTTGTAATCTTCTATTATTGGCATAATCTTTACTTTTTCTATACAAATTTTAATCAAAACATAACTGGATATTCAGAAAATAAACTCGAATTAATAACTAGTAATAATCAATATTTTAATTAATATAACTTAAGATTGTAGTAATACTACAAACTATTTATTGCAGTAATACTTATTAATTTGAAATGTTCTTTACTTTTATATAACAATATGAGACGTGGATTATAATTTGTTATATTTTTTGTTTACTGAAGACTCGATATAGTATCTAAAATTAATAGTTAGATGCTTTGGAAATATTCATGAAAACATTAATTTTCAATATATATTTGCTTTTAATATATATTTACATATTTACTTATTAGTTTTTAATGAGAAGATCTATGCTAAGTGTTTTTTTTTTCATAGTTGAACAATAAACAATGCTATATCGTTAATATTATATTAGATAAACATACTTTTTAAATTATACCACAACAATTTAAAAAGAAAAATAAATAAAGAAAGACAAACATAAATTTAAACAAAAATATTGTGAATTTATTAATTAAATTGAAATTTGCAAATTTTAAATGATAAAAATAACTTTAACAACAACGTGTTTTTGTTTATGTTTCTTCATTGAAATTATCTCCTCCAGATAATAAAAATCATCTACAGTCGGCGTATGTTTGAATGCGTTTCAGTTCTTGTCTTGTATAGTATCTATGTGCATTGGAAACCCAACTATTTTATACTTATTTATATTTTTATTTGTGCGTACGGCGAAAAGTGATATATCGAAATTGATTTTAATTTAAGTAATATAGTGTTTGTAAGCAATGGTTATATACATAAAGGTATATTTTTGTACGTAATAAATTTACGAAAATTAAATTTTAATTATCTATTATTTTTTCAGTCTCCAAAGAGTCCGGTGTCCTCGATAACGAGTCCTTGCGATTCCCCGAGACCGAAGTATGAGAAGGATAAGAGCAGCAAAAGGAAATCAAACCTGAACCGTTCACTGAACTGCGAAGAAGTTCCAGTTGATGCAAACGGTAAGATCGTGTAGCTAGTGTGTATTTCGTTTTCTTTCTTTCTGTCCTGCATCCCAATTTATTTATTTTCTCATCTTTGTCTGGTCGCATGTACGTCTGAGAATAAGAGAGAGAAAGAGGGCGTGTATAGTTGTGGCGTCGGGACGTCGTTTTGTGTTTGTTTAAAGCATCCATTCACCTGATGATTATACCCGAACCGAAACTCTCAGACGGTTACCATGCCGACCGGGGCCAGACTGTCTGGAGAATTTCGATCAAAGTTAGCATTAAAAATGTATTTGATTAAACCGATGCGAAAAATGATGTTTAATTTATTTACATTTATTTTCCGCAGACGACAACAAAAACAGAAGAAGACGCCGGCGTTTCTTCCCTCCAGAAGTGTTAGTTAACTCCAATGAACAGACGTCTAGGAGCGATGCTAGTCTCACTGCCAATCTGTCGCCGCTGTCTTCACCGATCACTGCCTCAGCCACTACCCTCAGGGCGATCCCCAGGAAGTCGGAGCTTAGCATACATATGGAAAATGCTCGAAAGGGGGTCACGTCCGCGCCATCATCAACTGTTCATCAGGATATTGCAGCAAAATTCAACGTTACCGCAAGAACCAGGAGGGTCGTGACATCGAGCCCTTTGAAACAACGACCATCATCAGACAAAGAAATCAACGGAAACATGAAACAATCCAACAAAGAAAACATTAAACGAAAGACTGACGAAATAAGTAAAAAACAAAAACAAGTGCCTCAAAACAACAACGACTCTTCATCGACGAGGAGTACACGAATTTCAAAAAGAATGGAAGAGCTCTCGAATCTGACCAGGGAGACGTTGGCCAGAGTCGAGCGTTTAGCGAATAGAAGTAAGGAATCTCCGAAACGAGATCCACCAGCAAAGAAGAAGGAACAGGAGGTGACACCCTCACCACCAGTGTCAATCCTGAAGCGTAAAGTGTCACAAGAGGAGTCGAAAACGTTGGTCACGCCCCCTGTCACTTTTTCGCCGAACGTAATTGAGCCAGCAACAACTAATCGTAAACAAGGAATACTTAAGAAGCGACGCAGCTTAGATGAGTCTCAAGTCTTAAGGCATCGGAGCTGCAGTCCGGACGTTGCTGGCAAATCGGACGCACGCTCTATTTTGAAAACCAAGAGAAGATCATCACTGGAAGAAATCACTCGAGTTTCAACAGATGGTATTCAGGGTATACTTAAGAGGAGGACTTCGCGCAACGAAGACGATTTTGATAACTCTTTAAATTCACCACAAAGTATTCTTAAGCGGAGATCTGGAGCCAGCAGTGCTGGTTCATCATCAAGTACCCATCACCACGTCTCCATAGCCACTGCCGTAATCCTAGCAGCCGCCGAGGGAGCGGAAATTATTTTAGATTCAGTTAAACCTATCTTAAAGAAGAAAAGCTTTTCGGAGGATTGCCCTAACGGTGACGCCAATAATGACCTGAAGCCTATCCTCAAGAAGAAGTCTAGCACGGACACGGACGATTCCGAGGAGAAACCCAAGAGGCCCATCTTGAAACAGAAAGACACGAACTCAAATCAAAACCTGAACGATTCATGTTCCGAATGCGAAGTGAAGCCCATTCTGAAGCCTAGGTTGTCCTTTGGTGAACCGAGTAACGGAGAAATGGGCGAGTGGCGGACGAACGACAGACGCAGATCTCAGACCCTCACCGATCTTGAGTTCACCATGAACGGGGTCGTACCAAGAGATCGAGATCGCGATCTGAGCAGGCCGAGGGTTATTAGCGTCTCCGAATTGGTCATGAGTTTCGAGAAGTCCACTGGTGCCATACCGAAAAGATCAAGTTTGAAGCGTCAAAGTGATAATAGATATAGGACCCAACCAATCACATTCAACGAATTCGAAGCCAGGTAAATTGAACAAATCACATATATTTCTACTGACATCTCCTATCAAAACACATAATTATAATCATAAATTTCAGTGTGCAATGAAATTATTTTCAAAGTGTCAATTCTCTGATTCATAGAGATAAGTTCAAAAACAATCTTTCAATGGATTATTAATTAAAAGACTTTTAAACATGCATCTCATTTCAACTGCAACTTAATTCGAAACAGACTTTTTCTTTCTCGTGAATTATTCAACTATAAATGGATCAAAGCTTTTCATGTCTCAAAATAGAAACTCCAGTCTTATTTTTCTCCTCTCGGACAAATTATACTTGAAGCCGGGATATTTTTTCTTTCTTCCTTGACGGCGTTTCCGCATTTTTATTTATAAAATTCTGAGATTCAGGGTTACTTTGTACATACATTTTTTTTAACTCGCGTTCGTTTACCGTATGAAATATAAATAAAATATTTATTATGGTACAGATGTGCCTCTCTATTATATATTTTTTCTTCACTTCGATTTTCTGGGATTTCAGCTGATTTTCCAATTTGTGTTGGCTTGCCAAAACGAACAGTCTAAATTTAGATTTCTTGCGTTGAAAATTGCTTGCAGTCAGTTGCGTTACGATAGTCGCACGAAACGGTCTGAAAATTTTATATTTTTTATTTAAAACACTCTTTATCGTCTTCCATATTTACAACTTGCTGCGGAAATTCTAGTAATATAAAACTTGCATAATTTATTTCTAAGCTGCAACCTGTGCCAAAAGTAGATTTAAAAATGACCTAGGTAAACAAGTTTATATATATGTTTTTTTTTTCAGTTTAAACTACGTTCAGAGTCCGCAGCGCGAAGAATTTCCGCGTTTGACGTTGACAAGCCCTCAGGGTAACAACCACAGTGTTCAGTCTCTTTTGGATTTAACTTCGTCTTTGGAAAATGAAAACAGACTGAGCAGTTATTTATCAAATTCTGTGCCAAATACTAGTTCCGATAGCGGGGTAGGTAAGATGTCTTCCGATTCGGCGTTCCAGTCATTGGGAGATGGATTGGAATTGGAGCAAGATGATACGTCACCGAAGAAGGTGATCCCGAAATTAGAGATGCAGATGAAGGCCATCGCCGAGGAGGCCAAGAAAATGAAGCTGCTCAAAGGTGAGCATTTTCCGCATGTTTACATACAATGGCAGTTGTATATAAAAATTGCTTTTGTTCTTGTAGTTAACGCTGGTATTCAGAAGTATAAAAACCGCTCGACCGTGTCTTCCACTAGTCGTTATTCCACTCAACCCGTTACTCTGGATGAGGTCCAAGAGGCTGCGAAGATCAAACGCGAAGATGAGGAGAAAGGTTTGTTTTCTTTTTGTTTAAATGTTGTTGCTGCTGCCGTTGGAATGCCGTTTGATATAATGCTTATAGTCTATTCGATGTTAGTTTACTATATTATTTTTTTTTGATATTGCATGCTTTGTTAGAAGACACTAGCGACGAAGATCCGTGCAACTTGAGCCTATCCGAGCGGATAAAGCTGTTCACCAAGAAGCAGCAGGAGGAGCTGGACTCCGTAAAGCTGGAGAGCCCGAAGCGTCGCACTCGCTTCATCACGCAACCTGTTACCTATGATGAAGTGAAATCTGCGATTTCCCTAAACTGTGACTATTACACAAGAAGTCCAAGTCCTTACGCTTTAGGTGTGCTTTGCATGAAACCACAATCATTAATATAAAATAAGACTATCACTAACTTCTTCATTGACGTGCTCTAGATTCTGAAAGCGATCGTAAAGGAATATTGAAAGCGTCACCTAGGCATAGATCAAAGTCACCGCCTCCACCTTCACCTTACAAGATGTTGAACTCCGACCCGAAGCCCAAGTCCATCCTGAAATCAGAGAGCGCCGCAGCCGTTCCAGATTTCACCTACGATGAAGGCATATCCTCCAACGACTCCGATGATACGGATACGGAGAATAGGCCGGGCGATTTTAAAATAAACCTGCTGAAGAAGTACTCCAGTTCCGACGAGTCTTCGGGAGGCAAAGAGATACAAAGCATCATCGGCAGGGAAGCCATGCTGAAGAGGCGCCAATTAAGGTAGGATTCTTTTCATCTTTCTTACAATCCGCTTATTCTTAGAAATCGAAAGCAATATTGTACTGTTAGTACATCGTAATTGTAAGGTGGAACATGGCTTTTCATTGTAATTATTTTTGTTACGTCATTTCGAAGATGATGCAATGAAAGTGGTTTTGTTGCACAACCATCGCACATGGATAAATAATCAATCGAACGTTGAATGCTGTAATTACAGTTGCAATAGATATACGTAAATATAGAATTAGAGTTTTGCAAAATAATACATTTATTTCAAGGCATTATTGCTTAATTGTGTTATTATAAGCACAGATTAATGATCTCAATTGTATCCTAACATTTTATGGAAACAATACAATTATAGAAATATCCAATAAATTGGATGCAAAGAGCAACCTATGGTCGTAATAGGTCGTCTTTCAGTAAAAATTATTAAAACAAAGACTATTTTTTAATAAAAAAATTCAATACTTTAATTGAAATGATTAATGATTGTGCGCAACATACCTATTTTAATTATAGTCTAAAATGTATGGAAACAATGCTATTATTGAAGGATTGAACGCAATAATAGAATAAATATGGTTGTGGCTACTTAAACAAAGATTATTTTTAAAGTGAAAACTAAATATTGATTTGAAGAATTTCGAGACATAATATTATGCCACATGTATGTAAATTAAAACAAACATTAGCTCACATACGAACAGTTGTATAATAACATATTATAACCACCGGTAGTCGCATAGTGGCAAGACATTGAATCACATATTTCCATTCTAGATGGTCGTTATCTCGGTGATAATACTGTATAATTAAAGGTGTGTGACTAAGTGGGAAACTCTGGAGGAAGAAACGAAATGAAAATAAAAAGAAGAAATAGTAGGTTCGATAACACTTTCTTTCGCAAACACACGGCTCGATGAAGATGTTTAGTCACGTTCGCATTCAAATGAGTTTCATAATTTCCTAATGGCAAATAACATTTAAAGCCGCACATCAAATGGGACAAATCAGGCACGACTTTGCCATTTATTGTTTCTTTCGGCGTATAGAACACTTTACACACCAACTCACTTTTGCGCAAACGGGAAAAGTTGGAATTTTTTATAGTTTGTTGTAATCGGAGGGAAAAGGCAGCGATAATAATAATGCGAAAATATGTTGGGTGCAGTGAGTAAATTGCGATGTGCATAATGAACTTCCTCTTCAATTAATTATGATAATTGATGATAGTTGTAAATTTTGAGGCGTGCAGTAATTTGAGAATCAATTTTTGAACGTCAGTACGATTTACTATTAATTGGAAGAGTAGCAGGGGTAATTCCTTTTAGAGTTAATTGATTTATATTTATTTAGTTTATTTTTTTCTAAATCGATACAGGGCCTGGTATTAATTAGTTTTACAGTTTTAATGATCGACGAGGTACGGTTATTCCTTATGATTAACTTTTACTGTTGCCTTTGGCGTCTCTCTCCGTCTTTCCCGACGATCGAGTACATTGCATGTGTTTATATGTCCTTTTTTGGGCTCAAGCTCTTGCTCGTCGGGTAAGTAAATGTAAATGGACAGTTGACGCGCGTACCACTTTTCCGTGTCGCGGTTAATTAAGGCCCTTCAACGATTATAATTGAAATTGGAATTGAATCGGATTGAATGGAAGACGAATTCGAGACACGTCCGTTTGGATGAGGCTTTCCACATTTCATTCTTCCTTTCATTCAACCTTACGTGTGCATGCGGATGTGCAGCACGCCACGAACGTGTTCACACATCACAAGCACACACACTCATACATTTTAATCAAGGTTAATGCAACAATTCCTATTGATAATTTTTTGAATTTCGAAGAGTCGTATCTTTGCTAAAGTTCTGCGAATTCGCTTCATTTCCTAACAAGAAATCACTGTATGAGAATCGTTTCACATTTGTTATTAAAAAAAAATCGTCACTTTAATAGACGAAATTATAAATTTCTTCCTTAATATCTCTATAATTGATTCTAAATCCAATATATAAATAATATCTTTATAATTATATTTAATATATGTCTCATAAAATGGAATCATTACCAAATAAAGACTCTTTCAGTAGTATCGCACTAATAGACAATTATTAATTATATTATAATTATAAACAACAATTATGTCTTATTTATTTATATAAACTACTTTTTAAATGATATTCTGACAATATTGATTTAAGTATTTGTTTCATTTTAATTGCAATTTTTAAAATATCCAAAATCTTATAATTAAACGAATAATTTCTCTATATTATTAATCTTTATTGTAAGAATTATATATAACAAAAATAATTATAACATTCGTATATATTTGTAAAAATTTCAATAATTAAAATTAGGTTTCTATATAATGTGGCTGTAATTAAACGAAAATAAAGATTTATCGATTTGGGACTGTGGATTTATGATCCAAAAAAATAATTTATAAACATAAGTATAGTAATTTGCTTATTTCAAAAATTGAAATTTTCTTTTTAGAGATGTTTAGTAGATTATGAAAGTTAATTTAATTATTTCGCAAATACTGGTTGGATGAGTGATCAGCAATCTTTGCAAACTCAGGATAAATGGAATGGCACTCTAGTAGAACGTAAACAATTTGCTAAAGCGTCAAGTGTTTTAATACACGACACATTTGCACGGATGAAGAACCATGTGGTCGATGGCCTGTTATGTGCGAACCTTACAAATTCAGATACCAACACACAGTTATCTTACCATTGTATTATAATACCACGATTTTATTAGATATGAAATGTTATGATATGAAGTTATGAATCCCAGTTTTATTCACAATGTTGCTAATGCTTCAAAGTTGCTCTGAAAGGATTGCAAGCGCTGTGCAATCCGATGCGTGTTTATCGATTGAAACATTTGTAGATTGTTTATTTGGGTTTACTGTGTGTTTTCCCTAACCGGTCTAATTATAAACACTCGAATGAATAAGTTTGGTCTCCATTATGTTCGAAGGGGTCAACTTGTGGAACAGTTGCGTCTCGATTTTATAAATAGTCTCCAATTGGACTTATTGATTGGATCAGTTTGCATTGCGTTTTAATCGAACCCAGGGAGTTCGTTCAACCCACAGCACAAATAACAGGCCAATGCAGTACACAAACCTCCGATCCAAATTGCATTTTATTTTCGGCCCTTGCAATACCAATACCAAATCCTCATCTCTCAAAATCATTATTAGGCTTCGATCCAGTTCGTTAGCTCCTCATATCCATCCATAACCTGAAGCACATTTATGAAAATCCTTGCAGCACAATTACGATCGCACCGGTTCTTTCATCCACCGAGTGCAAAACGAACGAAGACGAGATTTTAATTTGTTTGCAGTTTGTTTGGTTTTCGAAATGGGTTTTAATAAATCCTCCTTTATGCTTCGCAATCGCCGCGCGATGGGTTTTGATATCTCTTTAAGGTTCTGCTTTACACGCTTCGGGTTAGGTTATAATGAGTCTGATCTCTCCTCCCAGTCTTCTTCTTCATCTTGTTCTTCTCATTTTGCTTTTGTTTTCTTGTTGCTGCGGTTGTTCTTGTTTACCTGCTGCTCTTCGTGTACCATCGTTAATGTTTGTTGCATTTGCGTTCCGAGCGCTGCCCGTAAATTATTCAAAACTATCTCCGCAAGAAATGCCTTGCAACACATTTATTTTTGAAAAAAATAACCTATTATCGCCCGCACCAACGTTTCTTTTTTTGTAATCTGGCGCCACGCGAAGCCCAGATTTTAACGTGTAAACTTACTTCTCAATTAATCTAAATAACAATTTAATTAAACGTTTATATACAGAAAAATCTTAATTATTTCTATTTTTATTTCCACGTAAATACGTTTCACAATGTATACGTTACTAATCTAAAATCGTTTAGCAGCTGGCTATTTGTATATTTTTAGTATGAATAGAGTAAAGATTTACTTCTTGCTAGAATAAAATAGAAAATAAGTATTGCAGCCACATTTGCAATTTAATATCATAATTAAGTAATTTTTTTAATATATAATAAAAAAAATCTAGTAGAAGACATTTAGTCTTATGGTTTTGATGAATAAATTAATACTTTTTGTCCTGTCATTGATTATTGTTAGAATTAATTTTGTTTATAAATTTACTAATTGTGATCTAGTCTATATTTATAAAAGCAATAGTTAAATTAACAACTGGCTATTAAACTTTAGAGGGTGGAGATTATCTATTTTTCAACAATTTGTGCATTATAAAAAATACTATTGTTCAAACAAAATTAAACCACATTTGCATTAAAAAATTAAAATGTAAGGTCACCATTTCTATAAACCACATTTATTTAATTTGAATCATACTTTAATGAGTCATTTTTATAAGGTTAAATATATAAAAGAACTCATGTTAATATTATAGATAAAAGTAATAAATAAAGTTAATTGATTAGAAAATACATAAAATGTATTAATATAATAAATTTTATTAATCTTAGTGTAGTAATTTATTGATATAGTTTTTTTTATATATTTTTATTATTTACTGTAAGCATATTTATATGAATCTTTGGAGGTTGTTCAACTATGTTGATTAACAATACTTTTACTTATTGTTAAAACCATGGAAATTAATACAAAAACAAGAACCGTGTGCGAATAATAACATATCGTTTAAGTATACTAATTAAGGAAGAAAAGAAAACCGGGAGCTCGGACTGAATTTTAAATATCATAAAAAGAAATTCCTTTACAAATATAGTAATCAAAAATAAACACCGCCAATGCCAATCGTTATATTTACCATTGCAGTAAAACGTTTTACCGAACAAAATGTTTCATTATAAACACAGATATTTGTACTAAATATCATAATTACAATTGACATTTTGTATTTGTTCAAAATAAATTAAAACATAATTTTTATCCATTATGTATTAAATATTCTGAACAAATTAATATTAAGTTTTTAAATATTTTTAATCCACAAATCTTTACTGTTTGAAAAA